ATCCCACGTCGTGACCAGGGCACAATGTTTACGAGAAGATGGCATGCCTCTCCGCAAGCGGCTTAGGGTTTACGATTTAGGATTAGATTGTGCAAGGGTTTTCTGGTTCGGTTGGGCTTCGGATTTAGGTTTAGGTCAGTTTCAGGGTTTAGGGGTTGGTTATCTAACTTGAAGCCCCAGCCCTCCCTCACGATGTTGTTTCCAGTGATCTAGTCCCGCCCATGGAGAACCAGGAGCCAAGCCTGCAAATCTCCAGACCAAAAACTGCGGGAAAAGAGGAGCTGTGATCAAGTAAAACCTGTGTTTGAACTGATTACACCTATTCAAATCAATCTTGCAATTTCTTAGAGGAAGCAGCTTTTGAACCAGGGCTTTCGGCCTACGTTAGCAGCCCCCGAGTGTCTGGAGGATGCTAACGACATCTGATTACATTTCTTATTCTTACAAAAACCGACCAAGCAAAGCTAAACCAGATTCAGGTTCTATTGATAAGCAAACAGCAGTAAATGGCCCCAGGCTTGCCCATGTTTACAAGCGCAGCAGTCCACAAGCATCGTGGTGTTGGTTCCCTGTTTGTTTGGCGGAATGGTGATCATGGACTTCCGATGCACTGCCCCAGGCGCGTGTCAATTTGCAGGACGAATGTCCTCAAGCGCAAAATCCTAAACTCTTTTGACCCCTAAACCCTATAAACCCTATAAGTCAACACAGGATGTCAAGAAACTCGAGAACGAAAAGGAAGCAGGGAAGAACGCTTGACGTTACCTCTTCAGGACAGACTTGAACCTGATTTGCTTCAGCAGCTTTGGTGGCAGTTTATCCGAGAAAAAAAAAAAGGGGAATAAGGTAACCTAAAGGGAATGTAGGGAAGTAAAGAATCTGTGAGGATTCTAGGAGGATCGTTGGAAAAACTCCCTTTAATAAGTGGTTCTGCAATATTCATAATATGTATATAGCAACCGCAATAACAGGCCAACATTGGCATTTGTTCAGGCTTCTACATTGCTCGGGTTCATGCCAAATGGCACCAAGATTCCTATCAAAACTCTAGACCCCAGACCTACGAAATCAGAGTTCATCGCCTTCTTTTCTTGAGTAACCCTCACATTCTTTGGTCTAAACCCTATACTACAAAGTGGGTTTGCCAGCTGGCTGTCACAGGGCTACAAGCAATGCAGACACTCCACCGACCTAGTAGGAGACCCTTGTTGCAACTTCTCAAGCCACCGCATAATGTTGCACCCGCTTATGCA